CAACTCCTTGTAGTTACTATGATAAAAACTATTAATAAAGATATGAGCAAGGCCTCACCTTAATACCAAAAAAAAAACTTATAGTTGGTAAAAAATTGGTTCAAGTAATTATTAGAAAGAGTTGTTAAATTATAAATAATTAATAAAATTTTAAATCCTAAATATATTGTTTAAAAAAATAACAATTTTGCTATATTACTAAATTACCATACTCTTTAATTTATTTTATAAATTATTATTTATAAAATATTATATTCATAATGCTCATATTATATAATACCTATATAGTTTTAATTAGAGTTAGAATTCAAATAGAGATTTTTTATTATACAATATATATTAAATATAAGATTCTAATAAATTCTGATTTCAATTTTTATAAAGTTTTAAGGGCTCTGAACATTTTTACTTAGAGTATCTACACCCATTTACTTAATACGTTTCTGAGATATAGCATAAGGTGTTATATAATACAATATTATGAATATGACTTTCCAATATTTATTATAATCTTATATAGTATAATAATAATAAAATTTTAAGGTTCTTTTTTATAAAAAAAATCTACTATAATAAAATCTGCTATAATAAAAATAAGGGATTAATAATTTATTGCATATGCAATATATTACACTCTATTTTAACTATATGAAGATCATCGATTTTGTGTAACAAAAAATTTTTATCAAAATAAAAAATAAATTTTGATTAATGTTAGGATTAGGGTTAGGATTTGGGATAAGGCAGGGGTATAGGTTATATCAAAATTTTACGGAGAATTTTTTTTTATTAGAGCCTCAAAGGCGGTTTCATAGTAAAAATTTTGAAATAATAGAAGGGGTGCAATATATTGCACGTGCAATAAATTTTAAATCCCTAAAAATAAACTGTATATATTAATTTTTATTACAGTAAAACTTCTATACTTGAAATACAATAAAAAAAGTATATTTATAGAGGTTATATATATATAGTTGGGCACAAATTTAAGTGTATATTTAGAAAGAATATATACTTATAGATGATGCGTTTATAAAGATTTTATTATATAATTTTTTTTAAAATTATCTTTTGTTATAAGTTTTTTTATATTATATTAAAAACCATAAATTTAAAACTAATATTTAAAAAAGAATTAGTAAATAATTTTTTTAAATAAATCTTTTCTATTTATAGTTTATTTTTTGATTTATATTTTAAACAAATTGATTTATTAAAATCTACTTTATTTATTAAAAAATATTAAATATAAATGATGTTACAGATATTTTTAAAGGGTTTCCTGCAGTAACAATTATAATTTGCAATCAAAAATAGGAATTTTCACTATTCGTGAACTCTGACATTTCAAAAAAACCTACACAAAATCCGTTCACATCAACAACCGTATTGTTGATGATATCACGAATATCTTTCATTTTTCGATGAACTTGTAATTGGTAAATCATTATTACAAGTTACATAACAATAACAATGACCATTCTTCACGACTAAAAAAAAATTATTTTTATTAAATTACAAAACAAATCAAAACTTATGCTAAACAAACGGTCTATTTTTGTGAAGATAATTATATCTCCATGGTTTATGTCGATCACGCAATTCGTCAATTACACCCGGGGGTAATGGATAATCTTTTGAAACCGACCATGTCATTTCACTTGCAAGTTCTTTTGATGTGTCCCATGGTGATTCTAATAATTAAAGTACCAATTAATTTTAAACAA